TATTTTTAATATAACATTTAAATAGTAGTACAATAATGCTTAATTATTGGTCACTTTTAATCACGTGAATAATAAGTTTCACAAGGGGGGGGGAGGCAATAGTAAACTATAATGACGTGATATGTGTCACTCCCCTAACATAAAACCTAATCCATCATTATTGCTCTCTTATATAAACAAATATATTGATTGTAGTGATTTACTTTGATAATTCTATTAAAGCCAACAAGACTTTAGGATTATTAACATAAATTGTTATCCTTCAGATACCTAAAACGTTGCTATACGTGTTGAAGTTTACTTTTCAGTTGGTAGACTTTGCAATCGACTCGTATAACACTATTTGTGATATATAATAAATAATGAAAACAAAGTTTTATTGCACTAATATGTTCTTTAATATAACAGTAATATTCCCTATATAATATTAAATAAAGTATTAATTTATAGTATTATTAGGAATAAAATTAAATATATATTTATTATATATATTTACTTTTTATAATGTTTATAAATAGTTAATAATAATATTTGAATTTTGGATACATCTTCACTAAATAAATGTAATTTTTTGTATAATCTAACTGCTTTAACAAATAAAGCCCAACCTTCATAATATATTTTTGAAAGCTTATTTTTCAATAATGGTAATGAATACATTGTAATCCATACTGCCTATTCTTCAACCTTATAGCCAGCATAATGAAGAATAATATTTTGAGGTGAACGTCTAAGATAGGATGGAAATATTTTTCAAGCTTTATGCATTAAGTTTCCAATTTCATTCTATGTAGTATTATTAAGAATATACAATCCATTATTTTCAGTGCTGTTACTAAAAAATGTATCATTTCAATGTTTAAACATATATTTTGCAACATTTTCAAATATTAATGCATTATATCTAATGCAAATTAATATGAAAATATTGTTGAAGGTAAATCAAACAATATGCTTCAATGCTTTATTTTTAATATTATAATTAATATATTTAAATATACTGTAATTTAAAATAATTAATATATTATATTAAAATAAAACTTACCATAATTTTATTGCAATTTTTTAATTTCTTGTTAGGTTATTATATGTTTTAAATCTTTTATTATTTCTTTATATTCTTTATGTGACTTCAAAGGTAAATTATTTGGATCATAATTTATTAAATCAAATTCTACAGGAGGAGTAGTAGGATAATATCCATGATTCACATAAAATCCTTTGATATTACAATAATAGCATCTCTTGTATGAATTGTGTTTACTTAAGCACATTATTTTAATTAGACCTGGTGTATCTCCAGACTAAGATAAAATATGCACCTTTAATATAAAATGATTTTTAGTCATTCCATCTATACAATTAATACCATCTATTTGTAAAATAAAAATTTATTAAAAACAAATTTATAATCAATATAATAACTGTAAAAAAAACTTAATTGGCTAGTTTTTTAAGTTCTTCAACAATTAGTTTTATAAATGAATTTAAATCCTTTGGTTTTTTAGGTTCAGGAATTATTGATATAATTAATAAATTTTCCTTAAATATTCATTTTTCTGATAGAAGATTAGCATTTATAAATAATACAATCCAAAAATCATTTGTTTTTTGTCTAAAAATCTGATAACCATCAATAGATCCAGTTAAAGCAATATCATATTTATTTTGAAAATATTTCATTTTTAGAAGATTCAAATAATAATTTCCATCAAACACATTTTCTATTTTACCATCTTCGCTAAATCTACTACATGATATATATGTATGTCGATATCATAATTCATCTGCACGATTTGGATTCTCATATTGTATTTTTAAATGCTCTTTTAAAGAAAAATATACAAACTGATAGCGTGATTTTTTCTGCTGCCCATGATCATTTTTTCGATATCTAAGTTTATTATATTATAGATAATGAATTTTGTTCTTAAATGATCCAGTATACGCATAGCATGAATTAATACATATGTCAAACCATTTTGGTTCAATATTTACTAATTTTTTCAACACAGTCTTTATATGGTAAAGACTAATTGGATTACTACTTGTGGCCTTCATTATTTGGTTAAATGCATTATCTGTTAAATTGTATTAAATTTTAATTTCAAAGAGTCGCAATGCACATGCCAAGTCATCTATTATATTTAACTCAGATTCACCTAAACTAGTTTAGTATCTCATTAATAATTGAATTAATTTTATAATTAAAGATATAAATTAAAAACTTACTATTGTTTATATTTTCAGATAAATCTGATTCATATAAATCACCTAAAGGTGTATTGTAATTATCATATTCTTGAACCAATTCTTATTGCATATAAAGATATTATAATTCATCAAATTCAGCATCATTTGTGTTATTTGAAATATTAAATTATCATCATAATTTGTATCACTTGAATCGTTTGAATTATTATAATCTTTTGCATCATTTATATAAACACTTGTGTCACTTAAATTGTTTAAATTATCATCATCCTTAACATTATTTAAATAAACACTTCCATTACTTGAATCATTAAAATTATGATTATTATAATAATATTTTTGTGTTTTATCCATTTCATCCATAAAATTATCTTGATCATCATTTCTATTATTTCATTTATTAGTAAATTTTTACATTATATTAAAAGAAAATGAATCTCAGTAACCTATATACCTTTCTTCTAAAAGATTATTATCATCATCAAAGTATTCTAAATCCTTTAAGGAAATAATTTTTTGTCTATTTATACTTATACTTCAATTTAATTCTTTTTTCTATACCTTCTAAAGGTATTTATTGAAACTAATTTACTTCCTAATTCTGAATTTTCAGCTTTGCAAATAAAACATTTACAAAATTCAGATATTGTATGAAATTTAAATAAAAAAAATCTTTTTATTACGCTAATAATCTATTTCAATAAATATAAGTTGCACAGATCTTATTAAAAATTTTTTGTTTCTTAAAATGGAATAAAAGGTGCTGTAAATAGTAATTTGTTGGTTATTTTTTGTGAAATGAATATTGTTTTAATATATCCTGTAATGAAGGTAATAATTGTAGTAAGAATAATTATATAAAATACAGTTTGAGTAGTGATATTAATAAAAATTTTGCTAAAAAAATTGTCTAGAGATATTAAAAAATTAAAATAAAAAATAAAATAAAAATAAATAATAATTTAGTTAGTTTTATTTAAACTGCATAAATATCAATTATGCTAATTATTTTTATACATGTAAATTAATTATATTTTAAATCACCGCTTTAATTTTTTATAAATATTTATCATTATGGATGAATCAGAAAAAGAAATATTATGTAAGACAAGGCTATGTATAATAAATAAGGCTATATAAATAAAAATTTTTATAAAATAAAATTTTTTTTGTTGATCATTAAAAAATTCTATTTGGTAAGTGTAATTTACATGCATAATTATATGCATAAATTATTAACTATATAAATACTAGTATTCTTTATTTAGTATACATGTTGATCAAACATCTTTTTGAAGGTTTTTTTAAATTTTTTTTTATTTTAAAAAAAAAAATTTAAACTCTGTCTTAATTTTTTAAAACTCCATTTAAATTTTCAAACTCTACCTTAAATTTTTGTATTCTGCTCCATTATATTTTTTTAAACTCTCTTTCAATTTTTCAAATTCCACCCTGTTATAATTTTTTAAATTCTGTCTTAAATTTTTGCATTCTGTTTCTGTTATATTTTTTTTAATTTTTCAAACTCCGCCTGTTATATTTTTTAAAAACTCCACCTTAAATTTTTGCACTCTACTCCATTATATATTTTTTTAAACTCTCTTTTAATTTTTTTAAAAACTTCACCTTAAATTTTTGTACTCTACTCTGTTATATTTTTTTTAAACTCTCTTTTAATTTTTTAAACTCCATTCCATTATATTTTTTTAAACTTTGCCTTAATTTTTGAATTCCATTCTGTTATTTTTTTTAACATTACTAATGTTTCTTTCTTTTTTTTATAGAAATTATCTTTTGGAATTCTAAAACTTTTAGAAGAGAACTATTAAAGGATTAGTATTATTTATATTTTTTTAATTGAAATTCTATTTTAGAATAATCTAAATAAAATCATTATACTTTTAACAGATATAAAAATGTGTTTATGTAGAAGACAAAAAGATATGTATTTTTGTTTAATTTTAATTTATTTTTGGTAACCAGTTTTAATAATAATCAATCAAAAATTAATCAATTATATTATTATATATATATATTTACAGATTTATAATGCTGATTAGCATAACAATAATTGATATAAAAGTAATGATTTTTTAAAAAAAGCAAAAAAACACTTCTTACTTTTTAAACCTTTTTTTTATACAAACCAATTTATTTATTTTCTATTTTCTTTTATTCAAACTTTTAAAATATCTTCTTTCAAAGATTTATCAGAAAAAATTTGTAAAATTTTAAATGGATTTAGTTATGAATATTATATAGTTTTGTTTGGAAAACTAAATTGAAGTATGGTTGATTAGCAATCAAGTTACTGATTTAGTAAGTAATTATAATCCTTTAATTCTTTAAGTAAAATTGAATAAGAGCTCATCATCAAATCTCTAATTTGTGAAAAATCAATACTAGGATGCAAAAATAAGTGTGTTCAATTTTCTAAGTTATAGGAATATACTTTTGAATATATAGATCAGTTACCATTAAGATTAAATTATAAATTACATGATTTGTAATATAATTTTATATATATATGGCTTTGGGATCGTATATTCCTCCTATATATGCTTTTGGCATATGCTAACTTAGGTTTTATTAGGATTAATATATTTTTATATTTTAAAAAATTATTTATTTATTTATTTATTTTTTTATTTATTTATTATTAATTTCAATAGAATCCTGTATCTGCATTTAATAGATATATAACTATTAATAAAGATTTATTTTTAAGTTGGTAAAATCAGATCAAAATTCTTCCTAAGGATTTTTGTGGAGTTATTAAAACTCTAATGTAAATCATAAGTCAAATTTAGTTAAAAAATATCTTCACAAATTTGTGAATTATGCAGATATAGAGAATGAAAAGGATTTAGTAATTATTAATGAAAAGCAATCTTTTATTTTAAAATGTAATGATAAAATTATTGGTAGTGTAATTCGTAATATCGTTAAAAAAAATGTAGCAGATCATTTTGAATATAAAATGAAACTTACAGTAGATGTTTATTCTAAAATAAACCATAGACAAAAGACTCATGCTGATTCAGGAAAATTAATTGGTCATGGTCTTCGTGCAAATTTTTAAATCTATTTACTATTAATTCATATGTATATAAAAAAAAACCTTAATCCTGAGGTGCAAAGAATATATGATCAGGATTGACATAGTTTTAGAAATGGTTATATGAAAATGCTGAAAATCATATATCATGATCTACACTATCATATGAAGCTTTTAACAAAAAGTAAATAAAATGATAATCAAATGATAGATGTAGTATTTTGCGCTAAAAATTATGAAGCTGTAGAGCATTAAGATAAAGATCAATCTGAATTTGCGATAGACTTTATTTATGAAATTGGTGTAGTTAAAGAAGGATATTTTATTTATCCTGAATATGGTGTTGCTATCAAAATGACATTAAATTTAATATAGTATTGGTTAACACAAGTTATACATGGTACAGCTAAACTTAATTTAAGTGAAAGTGGTGTTAGATATACTAGTGTGATTATTTTAACTGAAAAAACTGCAAAAGCAGTAGAAAAAAAAGCAAGTATTTTGATAGTTAAATTTTTTTTATTATTTTTTTATTATTATATATAAATAAAAAAAATAAATAAAATAGAATTTATACTTTTATTTTTAATATATTTTATTAAATAAATACTATTTAAAATAAATAAAAAAACTCCTAAAAATATTAAATATATTAAATTAAATGATTAAAAATAATATAATTTTTATAGTTTTAAAAATATTAATTTATTAACAATATATTGTTAGAATTGTATTTTTTGCAACAGATTTAAAAATTTATTTATTTTAGTCCACTGAAATATATTTGATAACAGAAAGTAATCTAGCATTTCAACATTACCTATTTTCAATACACAATCTGGACATTTTTGTATTAGAAAAAAAGATTAAATTTCTTTCTGTACAAATTTCGGATGTTTCTGAAGTTTGAATAAATCTAAACAGCAAGCTTGATCATTTTTTAGAACAAATAATGGTTATTTTTCAGACATTCTCTGATATACCTGAATAGATTCAGAACATTTTTGATGATATTTTTCAGACATTTCTTTTTTATAGGAATTAAAGAATCCATCAATAGTGTTTGACATTTGAGAACATTTAATGTTAGCTTTGAGGTCATCCAAATATAATCAATTTGTGATATAGTATTAGAATGAGAAAATATTGAATATAATGAACAATTGGTGTTGTAAATGATGTTGAAAATATCAAATAAATTATATCTTGATAGAAAATTCATAAATTAGATCGTATGAGGCAGATTTTGTGAGCGATTAAAATTTGTGTTGAAATCTCCAAGAAGGATAATATAATAGTTATTATAGGTTGTCTCTGCAAAAAGTAAAAAGATATATGATTACATTGATTTGCAAATAGCCTTTGAGCTACGTTTATTAAAAGGAAAGTATACGTTGATAACTATTAGTTTTATTTATTAGTAAACTGTAATTTAGCGTAAATTATATAATAAAGTTTCAAGTCATGTTTAAAAGTATGTTTGACTAGCTTCTTGCTAAAGAAGAGACTGACTCTAATTTCGCTAGATTGGCTCTCCTGATTTATGCTGAAAAATGGAGTGAATTTTAAAAACAAACAATTGAAAATAAAAGAAATATTTGAATTGAAGTTAGTTTCTTGAAGGCCAATAATATCAAGATCATGTATAGTATAGAGTGACATCAAATAATTTTGTTTAGTTGGGTTGTAAAAGAATCTGTCATTATAAGATGCAATGTTAATATATGATAAATAATTAGTATATGATAAAATAGTGTTTTCTGCAATAGGAATAGCATTCTTCATTAATGAGATAATTATTGTGGAAAGCTACTAAAGTAGTTTTCAATTTGTTTATCTAAAGTATTAATGATGGGAACAAATAACCGAATATTATAAGAACTTAGAAGACCTTTGTTGAGAAGTACTTGTTAAAAATCAGTACAAGTACTAGAAAGATTATTGATGATATTGGTGAACGAAAAAATGTGTTATTATTATTAGTAATAAATGGTAATGAGTTGTTCATTTGTCTTCTTCTGTAAAGGGCTGAGCAGTTTGAAGCATTAATATAAAGGTACTTTTTTTCTGCAATTGAGATTTCAGGAAAAAGTACTTAATTATATGTCTCAGCTTCTATTGAAATGATTACTTTAATGTTGAAGGCTTTTTCTAAGATACTCAGTCTATTTTAAAAGAAGATCAGAGCTAAAGTTAAGGTTGTAAGTTATTTTGTAATGACCTTAAGTTGTGTTGTAACAAGCTTTTTAAAGTCTGAATTATGCATTGATCCTTCTTGAGCTATTCTTTTAAAAAGGTCTTTAGT